CAGTCACAAGAACGTCGAATCTGAATCACTTGAAAAACACGGGGGTGCTTAACTTTTTTCCAGGTGTATATTTTGATAAAAATATAAAACAACTCACTAACCTCAATATATCGTTACGTCACATACGGTGAGGATAGTACTTCGAACCCTCTCTCTCCACTCAAATTTTACTACAAGAAGAAGTCCACCTGCACTAGGCCATAAAATCCCTTAGAATATAGTTATCATACGTATATTTAAAAAGGTATTATATGTGAAATATACGTCTGATAACTACTCCAAGTGAAGGCTAACAATTTAGTAGGAGACTGTGTGTGTAAACGAGCACATGAAGAGAAGTATTGAAATAGCACTAATTGCTATAAACATTCAGTGTTCAAGCCCTGATTTCGTGAATATATTGCAGCATTTCACAGTTTAAATCAACATAAAAGAGGAAGAGATCTGAATAGAACCTGACTATTCCAGGTAACACAAATACCTATCCATACAGACACATCTGCATTGTAGGTGGATATTTTAGTTATTGTGGGAAACAAACCAAAACACTCAATATTTTATTTACAATCTTTGGCTTGTAGAATTTTGTTCAAATTCAACCATTTACAATCGCTATTGCGTGGGGTTATTCTATAAAAATATTCTTTGAATATATGGGAAAGTTTAACACGAATTTGGTTTGGTTTTGGACTTCTAACTTAGCATGCCAAGTTTGGTCTGATTGATCAACTCGTTTAAGAGCAGATGCGTCCGCAAAAATATTTATTGATAATGGATGGTTATAGAACTGGTATGGCATATTCGATGACGAGGAACCAACTTTGAGACCAATAATGGCTGGAAACGGCTTGAATGGGTAATGAAGAAAAACCTTGTACATTTGCTGTTATGTTAAACTTATATTAAAGTTTTTCTTCATTACCCATTCAAGCCGTCTCCAGCCATTATTGGTATGGCATATGTAATAGCGGATGTGAAAAACTCCTATACTCAGATGGTGAAAAAATTGATTTCTAGTTTGGGCGACTGGAACGAAGCTTATGTATGAAACTAAACATATTAAAAATAAAAAGTGAATAAGCTTTTAAACTAATTTAGTTATATTTTCACCCTTTTTTTTTCTTGTCATTAATGAGGCTAATATTAAAAGTTTTGTCAGTCATTTGTAGAAAAATATCTATATATCGCTCCAACGGTCTATAGTGGCCACGTGCTTAGGAATGATATGTAAACCACACGATTTCAAGGTCGGCAGTGTAAAACATTCTACAGCGACATCTGTTGGGTAAACTATGAACTATAGTAACATTTCTTATGCGGTTTATTTCAATACTCTTTCACCGCAACTTTTAGGACTTTTTCACCTAAACGCTAGTTCAAAGTTTATTCTCCTTAATTCTTTCACAAAGTTAATGAATAAGTAATGACCAAATTAAGTCGGAGTAACTATATTCACATCCAAATTATATTTCAGGTTTCCATAACTTTATGATACATTTTAACCTTATTATAATAAGTTTATATCTATTTCTAATATTTAACATAAGAATTAATTATTAATTCAAGGGTGTTTTAATTCAATTGAAAATGCATCAAGTAATCCCCCCACTTCGTTGTTCCAAGTGATGAAAAAATTACCGGTTTAAAGATTGGGCGTTGTTGCCTTCCAAACCGTGAATGTAGCCCCGGGCTTTTCTGTTCTCACGCCTGTATGTTATATTTAGTTTTAGTAAAAGTTTTAAAATAAAATTCCTCCAAACTCGTCTTTAGTTTTCTCAACTGATCATATTCCACACAATATTCTTATCGTGGTCATCATCAAGTGCTGTGCTTTGTACTGTAGGCGATCATGTTCCAGACTCTTGTGCTTACACCAGTCACTCTCTCTCTTCGTGTAGCCAGATTGTTAAACTGTCTACCCATTTTCCCAGTTGTTATCAAATGTTCTATCCCTCATAACATGATCAAAGAATACTACTCGTCTTTTTCGTACTTTGTTGTAGAACTACATTTGTTTTCCGGTCTTTGTAGGAAACCCTAAACATTCTACGCAGGAACCATATTTCGATCGTATTAAGCTTATCGCGGTACTGTTAAACAGTTTTGATCTTTAAGTTTTAGCTGATCAGCAGACATTCGCTTTCCCAAAAATCTGTTTAAATTAAGAATAGCATTGATTGTGAATAATTTTATATATACATATTCACCCTCTAGGGCCTTAACTGTTGGATATTGAGGCCAAGGTGTTACAGTCCTTTACTGTGTTTTAGAGTTATTGGTGCGACATCCTTCCCAGGATGTTATCCTAATTACAGTTCATGTCTTAAAAAGATTTTTTTTTGTATATCAGAATCTACACAAACTTAAAATGTCAACGTTTCTGCAATCTACTGAACCTCAAAAATTGACGAAACTTTCACCAATGAAAATTAGCTGTGCCCTTTCTTCTTTACTATTGGCCACAAAGTACCTCTCTCCAGAGTTTGAACTACTAAATATTTAACTTATTTTAGTATCAAAGACTTAAGTACAAATCCACTGATTCTGTCGGTACTGTTTACGTGACACCGATACAAAGCACACCTCACAATAATAAGCCGACTTGACCTTTTCTCCAAGAACACTATGGAATTTATCAGCTCGTGTATCTTACACTGTTTACAACGAGAATTCCCCAGAGTAACAAGATTGCACTTTGAATCTGTGAAAACGTTCATTACGGTACAAGGTTTGAATATTGGTCATCCTTCTGGGATGTTCGGAATTATGCAGTATAACGTACAGACATACATAGATAAACTGGACGCTTTATCGAGGGTCCTCAAAGCGAATAATACCAGACACTTAACTTTAATCCGGAATATAGAGATGCCCATTATTGGATGATTTATTTTGGTAACAAATAGTAAAAAAACAAAGTGCCAGTTAATCAAAGTTCTACCGTATATAATAATATTCTGTTAACTTTCAAACAGCTCCAATACGATGACAAAACAACGTATTCCTCCACCTATAATAGGCATATATGTACTTTAATGTATAAACTCAATACTGCTATAGGAATACAAAGATACCTATATATATCCAACACAGTTAGTTCGCTTTTTCAGACCCAGTCTTGCTAGTTTTCATTACAGCTTAGAACGTGGGAATTTTACATCTATTCACACCTTTGTTTACATAAATCAACATTCCCGTTTTGTAAGACGAATGACAATAAGGTTTTGTTGTGATATATACAGGGTGGTCCAAAACTACGCACAATTGATTTAAAGTAATTAAATTAAAACATACAGTTGATAATTATTTAATGGCAATTTACATATGATGTGGAATTATGGGAAAGTTAATCCCACAGGTGTTCAAATGTTTCAGCACCCACTTCTGTTGTTCAGGTTACCAGTCATTTTCTTAGCTTCTAAAACCCAATTTCAATATATGCAACTGAAAATCTACTTTTGTCTGCTAATGTACTATTTAAGAGTTGATACTCTTGGATTTAAAGCACTTAAAACGAAATGATTCAGTTTCTTGGTGAAATGTATCAAATAATGAAAATCAGTCAAGAGAATTCATTGTTAAACATGAACCGACTTTATTTAAAATAAAGTTCAGCTAAAGTCATACACGGTCAACATAACCGTTGTTGACCAGCTTTCCTCCGGAATTCTTTTCTATGAAACTTATGGCAAAGTAACCAAACATGTAAAAACAAGAGAATAACGAGAAACATGAAGATTCTGCTGATCTTATAGAAGAAAATAAACCAGTGTTTAATGATATATATTTTTATCATTTTTAAATAACCACATGTTGTAACCAGGTCATTTTCTGTCCACAGTTTTGCTACTTTGCCACGCCGTACTTCTAGTTATTTCTTTTTGGTAGCCTTTTCTGCAGCTTTGGTAACCTTTCCGCTACTCACTTCCTTGTTATTCTTCTCTTTAATGACACCTACAGCCACGGTCTGTCTCATGTCACGAACAGCAAAGCGACCCAGAGGAGGGTAGTTTGTGAATGATTCCACACACATAGGCTTAGTTGGAACCAACTCCACGATAGCTGCATCACCAGACTTAATGAACTTGGGATTATCTAAAATAAACAGTTAACATTTGAATCCACAACACACACTAATAATTTACAATTTTTACAAAACGAAAATTAAAAAAAAACGACCAAATTAACCCATGAACTGCAGATGACGAATATTTCCGTCATTGAAGTTCTTTGGCTCAGCTGCCAATGACGGAAATATCCGTCAGTCACACATATACAACTATAACTAAGCAAATGACGATTAGTGTAATCGTAATTGATGACAACTCAGTTTTATCTGTGAGCCAGAAAACGACAACAGAGCTGCCCCTGCAGCAGTTGATGGATTAACAAAAGACCATAACTAAACAATTCAATCGTCCTTCAAACTTACCTTCAAGTTTCTTTCCGCTACGTCTGTCACATTTCTCCTTGATCTCCTTGAACTTGCATGCAATATGGGCTGTGTGGCAATCCAAAACTGGAGCGTAACCATTGGTGATCTGACCAGGATGGTTGAGAATGATAACTTGAGCAGTAAAATCAGCCGTGGCCTGGGGAGGATCATTTTTACTATCTCCTGCTACGTACCCACGACGAAGTTCCTTCACAGAAACATTTTTTACGTTAAAACCAACGTTGTCACCTGGAACAGCCTCACTTAGAGATTCGTGGTGCATTTCAACAGACTTTACTTCGGTGGTGATCATAGCAGGGGCAAAGGTAACCACGGTGCCAGGTTTCAAGACACCAGTTTCAACTCTACCAACAGGTACAGTACCAATACCTGGTAAAGAAAACAATGTATTAACAATTACAGAAAACTGAACTAAATAAAAGACCAGAATATAACTCTCAGACACAAACCAATATATTGGTATATTTATCATTTCAGGATCGTAACAAGACAGAAATTATTATTTCATGGATACACAACTTAAATACTTCATTATACACTTGACATGCTTAATTAACAGCATTTATCTGCACCCTAAGATTATCTGGTCTTACCTCCAATTTTGTAGACATCCTGCAGAGGCAGACGAAGAGGCTTGTCAGTGGGACGAGATGGAGGTTCAGCACAGTCCAGAGCTTGCAAGAGAGTCTTGCCTTCAGTTGTTTGACCCTTGCGTTCAATTTTAAACCCCTTAAACCATGGAGTGTTAGGGCTGGCTTCCAGCATATTGTCACCATTCCACCCAGAGATTGGCACAAAGGCAACAGTGGCAGGATTGTAGCCTATCTTCTTAATGTAGGCACTAACTTCCTTCTGGATTTCTTCAAAACGTTTCTGCAAATAAAAGTACAGGTTGTATGATGTTAATTGTACAATATACAATACGAACACAAGTTTCCAGAATCTTTCTGCTACTGATGATGAAATTAGTTTAAAATTAATAACCATTTTCTGCAGCCATTAAGAGCTTTTGGTTGATGAGAAAAACTGATGAACCTTTGAACAGCATTTTGTAGTAAATTATACACGTGTAAGTTACTCTGTGTAACTAATCAAAAAGCAAAATTAATTCATTGCTCACATCAGAAAATAAAACTGCACAAACACTGCCCCCCTAGTGTTTTTTGAATGAAGTTGAATTTCAATATGCTTTGGTCAAGATATTGCAGCGAAGATTACAATTACCATTAGGATTATTAATAATGGTTGGAGTCAGCTTAAATGGATAATGAAGAAAAACTTTAATATAAGTTTAGCATAACAGCAAATGTACAACGTTCTGACCTGATGATGACAAAACGTTGTACATTCGCTGTTATGTCAAACTTGTAAAGTTTTTCTTCATTATCCATTCAAGCCGTCTCCAACCATTAATCTCAAAGTGGGTTTCTCGTCAGCAAATGTACAATGTTTCGACCTGATGATGACAAAACGTTGTACATTTGCTGTTATGTTAAACTTATAAAAATAAAGTTTTTCTTCATTATCCATTCAAGCCATCTCCAACCATTATTAGTCTCAAAGTGGGTTCCTTGTCATCGAATTTGAATCCATTAGGATTATGCTATGCTCTTCAAACGAATTTTGGAATGCAATATTGACAAATTAAGGCTTTGGTTATATTGTGCCTGTATTCATATTTATGAACATAAAAACTTAAATGTTTGTATTTTTATATTTCCACGTGAAAAACCGCTATGCAGGGAAACTATTCAGGGTGCAAATAACTACATTAAATAAAATATTATATTTTTCCAAAACTACATACTTTGGGGAACATTATTGTCAAATTTCAAACAATTTCACCCACTAGTTTTATTTCTGTTATGAAATATGATGAGAGCAACGTTACCCTCACTTCGAGTGTATCCAGAGATCGTAGGGTTAAAGCACGCTGCACATTAACACTCAGCACGGGCTCGGCTGGTGGGACCAACCTACTAACCATTTTGTACTTGTTATAGTTTATGCTATAACTGAAATTAGTAAGCATGTCAGTGAAATTTGGCAGATTATTATTTGGCATTACAATGCTTTCATAGACAAATAACTTTTAAATGAAGTATTTAGGTTTGTAGAGCAATGTTTTTCCACCTTTTCACATGTTGCCTATCCAACATGCAAAGTAATTTTCATTTTAAGATTAAAAATACTTCGTGCATAAGAAAATTTTCAAAAATTTCACGTGCGAAATCTTTATAATGTCCAGATAGTTATCAAACGTTTCTTGAGAAATAACTATTTTATGTTATTTTCCTCACTGCACATGGATTCATGTTACCATATCCAATAATAGAAAACTAACCTTCACAAAGTGACCTGTCTTGGCTGTGTTTTAGTAGACCAGTATTTTGTAAAATACAGTCAAATTGCCATTATTATACATATGTATATAGATTATTAGTTAGAAACAAGTTTTTAAACTTACTTTTCCTAAACTCAAAACGGTAAGTAAAGCAAACAGTTCTCTTATAGTTACGACCTTTGAACTTTGTTGCTAAGCGTTTTAAAATTTTACATGTGGAAGATATGAAACAGAATTTTTTAAAGGTTTTATACACACACAGTTGAAGAGTGTTTATAAGGAAGCATTTCCAAAAATGGAAAAAAGATGGGAGGGGTGACCTTGGATTTAATACACGAGTAATAACTTAGCAAATTTAAAAGATAAGAGGCTCTTATTTCACATTCTAGTCTGTCCAATATCTGGAATTTGAGTTCCTAATTCGTACGAAACTATAGACTTAGTATTTTGACATCACAAACATCTAACTTGAACCAATGTTTCATTCAACATATCAC